AGATAGATAGATAGATAGATAGATAGATAGATAGATAGATAGATAGATAGATAGATAGATAGATAGATATGTAGGTAGATATGTAGGTAGATATGTAGGTAGATAGATAAATAATAAAATAAAATAAAATAATACATAAACAATATCTTCCGTCGCCCCTTCCAAATTACACCAAAATTTCCAGTTCTTATATTCCCCATTGGTATATTTTGCTATAAACAGCAAAATACATCCCCTAATTCATTTTTAAACCTAGAGAGCATTTATTTCCATTTTTTTTCTACCACTAACAGTATACTACCATTTCTTCATTAGTGACGTAACAATAACAATCTTACTACTATTCTCTTTAGTCTACTAATGTTAACTCTTTCTCCCTTTCTTCCTCTTTTAACCGTTTTCTCTTGGGCTCTCGAAAATTCCACTTTTAATTCTTTTCTTCCTTCTCCGTTTCCCCTAATTTCTTTTTCCTATTTTTGTATCTTTTCTTCAGAGTATTTACTTTTATTATTCTAGTAACTTTCCCCGAGCTTTTCCCGGGGAGGGGGAATGGAACCACTTTAGATAGCTGTCACTGGACGTATGTGCGAGACGATTCATCTACTACGGCCACACACCTCTCCAGGGGGTTTGTGGCCTCTCTGAATACAAGGAGTCCTTGACTTACAACCATTTAGTTGACCGGATTTACAAAGGCGCTGGAAGAAAAGTGAGTTAGGTCCCTTTTTCACACTTAACGACCCTTGTAGCATCCCCACGGTTTTACGACCCAAGTTCAGACTCTTGGCCCCCTCGACTTGTATTTACGACGGCTGCAGTGTCCCAGGGAGTCAGGCGATTCTCCCTTTTTGCGAAGCCGGATTCGCTGAACGAACGGGTTACTCGCTCTGCAGCTGCGACGATCTGCTTAACGGCGGCAGCAAGAAAGGTCCTAAGAGCGGGCAAAACAACCTGCCACGCTCAGAAAGAGAGATGTTTGGGCTTGTTTGCCGTCGTAAGTCGAGGACTGAGGAGTGGGGAAGGGTATGCAGGGGACAGTTGATCTTGGTGGGAGCTGACCGTGCCCAGCGGGCACAAGCCAGGATGAACCACGGTCTGTCTCGCTCTCCTGCCCCCCCCCCCCCCATAACGGAGCCACCTTTCAAACCCTCCGTTCCCCTGGGATTCTTGGCTGCCCCTTCGGGACCTTAAACCATCATTCCTGGCTTGTTCCCAGGCAACACGGCCTGAGGCTGCTCTCGGAAGCACCCCTGACATCCTTCCCTTCCTCTTCTTCCCTTCTTCCTCCTCTCTTTTCCAGCCCTCGAAGCGCCTTGCAACCAGAGTCGGCCGGATAAATTTCCCAGCAGCCTGGAATCGGAGAACGGTGAGTCGCCTGGAAGCAGGGGGGGAAAAATATAATCATCATTCCAAGGTTTTCTCCCCGCCTGATGTTAAAAGGCTGGTTTTTGGCATTATTTTTACATTTTGTTTTCTCCCCTGCTTTGATTTATTCCGATAACGCCAAGCAGCGAATGGACGTAATGCTGCACCCGGTTCTCTTTTTTTCCCCCCCTTCAAAAAACGACAACCTTGTGAGGTGGGTTGGGCTCAAAAGAGAGTACCTGGATACCTGTCACCCCGCTGGTTTTCATGCCTCCGGCGGGACTAAAACTCACCATCTCCTGGTGACTGGCCCAAAGTCACTTAATTGACTTCCATGCCTAAGGCGGGACTAGAACTCCCCATCTCCTGGTGATTGGCCCAAAGTCACTTAATTGACTTCCATGCCTAAGGCGGGACTAGAACTCCCCGTCTCCCGGTGATTGGCCCAAAGCCACTTAATTGACTTCCATGCCTAAGGCGGGACTAGAACTCCCCGTCTCCCGGTGATTGGCCCAAAGCCACTTAATTGACTTCCATGCCTAAGGCGGG